TATTGATTTTAATAAACTAAAAATAGTTATATTGATATCTAACTGAGATCAACATCATCCTTGTTGATAATCCTTGGCACCTAATCCTCCCTTACTTCTCTCCGACTTACAGAGTCGTCCTCTACGACTTAGTTTGCACCAGGATTGACGCTGCCGGTGCTAGCCCTAGATCATAGCAGATATCCGGATAGTTTTGAGATATCCAGATCTTTATCTGGATACGGCAGATCTGAGTTCTAATTATCCGGATTCGTATCCGGGATGTTTGAATATCCGGACTTTTGAATATTTGCCTAAGTATTAAGATATTCGCAGATATTTGCGGATCTCCGAATCTGGATAAAAAATATATATTAAAAACCTAAACAATTAAAATAATAATAATTTAACTAAGGATTATCAACAAGGATTATGTTGATCTCAGTTGGATATCAATATAAATATTTTTAGTTTATTAAATTTAATAATTGTCTCTAGCGCAGTTGGTATGGTGGTAAACTCTTATTTCTAAGGTTGTGTGTTCGAGTCTTAGGGAATGCATTTTTTTAAGAAATATCTAAACGATGTTGTTTTGACCACCTGAAATAAAAAATCGACCAAATTATATAGTAAACCGGTATGCCATATGTCAGTTACGTCATTAATTATTAAAGAAAAATTAACACCGTTTATGGTTTAAGTAAAATTGGTCATATTTCAATACTTTATGTAGTTATAAGCATAATGCAATAGTTCGTGTATGAATTTTCAGGAAACATAAAGTTCGTGGGGGATGTAGGTTTATGGATTTAGCTAAATCAGTTAAAACGGTGGCCGCCTAATCAACTGAACAGAGATTAATCAAGAATTAATTTATGGATTTTAATTTAGTTTTATTGTCGATTAATATATATTGTAATAAAAAAATAAAAAATATTGGTTTGTTGTAGTGACTTGTGTTCTTTTGTAGACTTCTACGTTATAAGTTTGAGCCCATGGTTTCTTTTCTGAAATCCTAACCCCAATCACTAGGATTTTTCTTTTAATCATTTTTTTTTATTTTTTTCAAGTTTGTACCCAAAATTCATAGATAAGGAAACTTACAATGATTATTAAGTGAAACCAAATACAAAAAAATGAGTTTTAATAACACATCCAAGTTTTTATCCGTTTAATTGTAGATCTAGTAGATTAGTGTTGTTTGCTTTTCTTTTAAAATTAAAACTAAAAATAGGATCATAATGTCTTAAAATGTAATTTATCTATATGGGAGCTTGACGGTCAATACTTGATTTCGTGTTTATAGATAGTTTAATGTCTGAGTTGACTTTCTGCCTTTCCTCTCTTTTCTTCTTAAGTGGGGTTAGAGATTTAATAGTCAAAACAAGCTTATTAATATATAGATATTATTACCATTAAAAAAATTAAATAAGTATAAAGAAAATATAGTGACAAACAATGCAAAATATATGCAAAACATAAGCAAAATATGAGCAAAATATAATAAAAAAACAAAGTTATCATGTTTTGTTAATCTTTATATTGTATACGACTAAATGCATTCATTATAAGCATAACAAGTAGGAAAATTATAAATCACCAGATTTTGATGTGTTTAAATATCAAATTAAATTGTGATATGTATTAGTGTAACTCACCACACCACAAAGATGCAAGCCGCTCTCCCGATTATGTGGGCGCCTGAAAAGAACAAAAATCAACTTAAACCAAATGGGATCAGAATAAATTTGAATTATACAATTATTGAATTGTCTACATACTAGCGCTGAGGAGGATAAGGTCTCGGTCAGACAGACCTTGCTCACGGAATTTTGACCTCAGAGTCTCCATGCTATCTACTTAGTCGGGCAAATTTGCGGAGCTTGAGATGAGACCGTCGTGTCGACCAGCAAGAACTTGGTAGAACGGGTCTTGTGAGAGAAATACTGTATCACAAGCGGCCAAGCCACAATGCAAAATATATGCAAAACATGAGCAATATATAATAAAAATAACAAAATCATCATGTTTTGTTAATCTTCATATTGTATAAGACTAAATGTGCTTAATAAAAAAGACAATAAATTGTAGTGCATAACCTTAGAAGTAGTCATGAAACTGCAATCGTGAAAATGCAGACGGAACCATTGTGGAAATGGAGCCGGAGCAAAGACTGTGGCGTTTGTTGGGTCTTTGGTCACCAACGCTTTTGACTGTAGCTTCAGCCTTTGGACATGAATTTGAGTAGAACCCAATTAAAAGTTGGGCCTCACAAACATTTAGCATGAGAAAAACTAAAATATTCTGATCAGCATTCTCATTTCAATATTTGTTTTTTTTTGTTTTTTGTTTTGGCTTTCAAAGAGATGAATGATGATTGATGAGTGATGATTTGTATAAATAACATACAAAAATCAAAAACATTAAATCTATTTAATTTATATCATAATTGGACGGCCATAATTTCAGTATCATGTACATTGTTTGTTTCCAAAACATATATCTCTACTTCTCCCCAAAACTTTTGATTTTTACAGTAAACACTATTTTTTTTTTCGTCAAAACATACTTTATTAATTTGATTGAATGTAATCGGAATACAAGGTGTTAGTATATATATATATATATGATGTACGTTTGCTGATATCATGAAATCTTATATATAAAAGACAATCAACTCTCTCTAACTGAATGACACATTAGCAATGGAGAGAGTGACACATGTCCATTAAAAATATTAATAAAAGTATTAATTAATCAAGTTTAAAGCAAATACATTAAAGATTATAAGTAAATGAATACATTAAAGAATATAAGTAAATAATATATATATATATTAGAATGAAATTAAAATTAAATTTTAAATCTATAAAAATTTATAAATATTATATAATACAAAACTTTTTAAATGCACAATTCTAATATATGTATATATTAATATTTAGTTATGTTAGATTAGATTGAATTCGGTAAAAAGTTTCAAATAATCTTATATAAAACTCCAACTAATAAAATTATAAAACACAAATAATATTTAATAAATCATTAAAGAGGTAAAAATTATCAAAAAAATAATAGTAAAAAGAATGATGTCCACATAAAAATGTCATACATGTTTTTTTTAATAAAAAAAATGGAATCAATATATATATATATATAACCAACAAAATTCAAAATAGTAAATTGAGAAAGTTAACAAATATTATATTAGTAAGATTTACAAGAATAAAAATAATATAAAGATCTAAAAACAAATAAATATCTCTCTCTAATATTTAACGTATATTTTCAAGTGAACTATTACGTTTTCATATAAAAATTAAAATAGTGGATTTTTAGTCTAATTTTTCTCCCAATAATATAAAGAACTGATGGAGAAAAATTAGACTAATGGCACAACTGATGTAGAAGAGATTATAAATAATGTATCATTAAAAAGAAATCGAATAAAATATAATTATTTTAAATGCAAAAATATTGATATTAAACATAAAATTCAATACAAATTTTTAAAATGTAATATTTAAAATAAAAATTAAAACAAGATCCGCGCATATGCGCGGGTTCTTTCCTAGTTATATATATGATTTTAGGTAAACTCTCTCCATCCTGCTGCCACATCAGCATCTGAATGGAGGACACATGTCTTTTCATCTAATTAATAAATTATAAATTTTAAAATAAAAAATTAAAAACTAATTAATACCACTACTTTTCACTTAACTATTATATTTAATATTTATTTCATATGTATTTATGTTCATAACTATTAAGTTACATTAATATTAAGGCTTTTCAAATTCTTAATAAAAATAAATAAACAACATTTCTAACTTTTTACATTTCTAACTTTTTGGTATTCGCCTAAAATTTTTAAATATTTTTTAATAATAACTTGATACTTTTCTTCCGGCTTATCCTCATTATAAACACTTTTTTCGAAGCTTGTTGTATGAAAAAATGTAAAAATGTAGCGTTATCTTCATTCAAAGATTTGGCGATTTTTATAGGTCAAATATAATATTATTATAGCTGCATTTTATTGTGAAATATAAAGTATGGGGTGGTTCTTGCAGAATCAAATCAATTGTACATGTCATAAATTTGAGAACATTAAAAATCAGAGGTAATTATATGTTTTCAAGCAATTCAACCAGAAAATATAACTTTTATCTATGTCTTTTTTTACTCATATCATGTTTATGATTTCTAGAATAGTAGAATAATTTTCCTAATTACCATACTTTCATTCCTTAAAAAAAGTTATTTGTTTTACAAAGAATTATTTTTAAAAACACCTAATACTAAACAGTCAAACAAAGTACCATATTGTTATAATTAACTATATATATATATATATATCAACACATATATATATATCAACACATATATATTTTTAAAAATATTATGTGAAACAAAATCATACGCGAAACAAAATCCGCGCGTATGGGCGGATACGTGTTGATTGAATATTTGGTTGAGTGTCTTAAGATTATTTATAGTAGCACGTACGTAGTAAAAATACAAAAAAAAAAAAATTTTAGCAGTTAGATTAGGGATTACGCAGGCATGCCTCGACATTCGACACTGTACTTCCCTGTATTCGCCAGATGAAACAGCTTCGTCGTCCAGCTGGGGAATTTCAATTCATACAGCGTGATCTTGATCATCTTTCATATAAACGTTAGAGATAACTAAATCCCTGAGAAAAAAAAAAAAATCTTTTCTGCTCAGCCAAAACTGATAACAATGTGGTGGTCATTACGTACAACTGTACATATATATATATATATATATATAATTTACCATATCTTCATTAACCTCACAATAAGAAAGATGGCTTTAAACCATTTTTTAATGTTTCAAAACGTCTCTGTCACTTTTCACCAGAAACTGTATCAACCGAATTTTACTAGATTAGGTTTTAACTGATTTAGCTATATAATTCAGGATTTTGGTTCGTGATTATGAATCCCTAGTTACCGTTAGAAATTTATTAGCTATATAATTTTTAACTTTAACGGTTCTTAATTAATCTTCTTTATACATTCAATTACTACTTTCTATACGAATATCAATCTAAGTGTAATTCCAGCCTCACATAATTGGTTTTCTAGATACTATTATACACTTACACTCTTTAATTATTATATGACACAAGCTCTAAACTTCCAACTATACTCTACATTTCAGTACCAACAATCTCTTCCTCACTTTCCTTCAATCTCATCACTTTTCAGTTTGCTTTGTATTGATATCTCTTGTAATATTGGTGGTAGTCTACTCGAAAATCTGAAATCTGAAATCATTTCTGGCTGAACCGGCGGGCTCTCGCTAGTATCGACATCACGGTTATTATTGTCACTGTTGTTGTCTGTTTCCAACGTTTGGTTTCTCTTCCTCTTGTCTCTAACTCTACCATGGCATTGCCTTAACACATTTCCTATTTGTTCTTCTAAGATTGCACTCTTATAGGTTGACCCCATCTATACACATATATACAAATCCAAATCAAATTCAGGTCACTATGTGTTACAGAAACAATACCAATCATAATTTGTAACGCTCATTAAAAAAGGTTTGACTATTTAATTTAAATGTTTTATATATGGAATTACCTGGGTTACAAGGGCATAGAGAGGTAGTGTAATGTAGCTGCTCAAGACCTGGACCGTCACCCTATATATCAAATATTTATCAATGAGATAATTATTTACTATACAACAACATAGATTTAAAGAAAATAAAATATATTTGTGGATTAAAAGAAATTGGTAAATGGAGTAATTGAAAGTCTTGCTTACGCTAGTACAAGTCGTATGACGACGACCTCTCGGTGTTCATGGTAACAAGAGTTGATCCCAAATTTCCACTATATTACCAAAACAAAAAAAAAACCGAAATGCACTGTATATATCAATTGTCTTTATTAATTTCTTCATTATGTCTCAATATAATGAAAATGTTAAATCTAAAGGAAACTAAAGAATAAAACTTACAGTGATCCACACAAAAAATGCCATCTCGAATGTGTTCTGTATTCACACAACAAAATCCATTTTTTTAATTCAAAAACAATGTTTGAATGCTGATAAATCATTAGAATAGCGACATTTAGTGTAGAAGAGATTACCAGAAACAGCGTGTAATGTAGAATGATTAAGAGGAAACGAGGAGCGCAAAACCAGAAATGCTTGTCGTTTGGCTCAACCAGAGGGCTTCCTCTAATCACATTGTTACGATCCATTATTTTGACCGCCATTTTTGCCACTATCACTTCTAGTTTCGTCCCGATAACCAAAACCATCTATACATCACAATGAATTCATCAATTATCTAAGTTACACATATTTCAAGTATAAATCTAATAGAATTTTAGCTCTTACAATTAGTGGCACAAATGACATCCAAAAATATACTCTCCAACCTGATGATTAAGATATAAACAAAAGAAAAGAGTGTGAAAAAGAAGAAAAAGTAGTACCTATTTCAATAAAGCCGATAAATATCGAGCATTTCTCTCGAATGATTATAATTATTTTTTAATGTTTTCTCACACATTAAATCAGAAAATTTTAATATCCAGATCCAGGATTTCCAAATATCCTATGTTTTTTCGCGTTGAACCGGATCTTTGATCCTTGATATGTTGCCCAGCCTTAATTTATCCCTTATATATATTTTATAATGTTATTTCAGTAACTGATTAGCTAAAATACTGGAGAAACATTCAAAAAAACTACATTGAAAGTAAAAAATGACATTTATAGTTAACAAATTTCATTTATAAAATATGAAACAGGGATAATATTAAGTTACCATGAACGTCAAGGAGCATAAAGATGACCACAGTAAGCCACATTAAAGGACTGTAATAAAATGTAAGAAAAATTTTCATTAATAATGCTTCTGTAGATGATATTTTTGTCCTTCAAAAATAAATCTAAATAGATACAAAATTTCTTAACCTGATACCAACCACAGTTTTAAAATCTTCATGTAAAGATCTCTGTATATACTTTTGGAAGTTGAAAGAATTATTGGAGGATAAATGAGCCTACATTAATATTTATAAGGAATATATTAATTTAAAATATCTATCTTTATCGAGATCTCAATTATTCAATGAATTTTCTTGAGATACTAACAAAGATAAATCCATGTCGGAGTGTGAGATAGTCGACTTTGGCCACCGAGTTGTAAAATTGCCTGAAGAAACATTTCTAAGAAAAACAAATTTAATTAGTTCTTTATAGTTGAGGTATATATGTTTAATTGTTAATAAATTAATTAAAAGATGAGAAAAACATGTGCGAACTTACAATCCAAAGTTGAATCGATGTTTCAGTCCAAGAACTCAGGTGTCGTCGAGCAAATGTGGTTTCTCTTGTTATTCTAAACCTATTTGGATCTGTAAATATAATTACATAAATTATTAATTAACCTAACATTCATAACCTTCGAATACGAGATCACTACACTGTATAATAATTTATACACGAACATATATATAAAGAAATATACGGTAGCAATTATTAATAATGCATAGATCATCACTAGTCATTCAGTAGTAGCAATTGCAAAAGCTCACCGTTTGCTGCTAAATAATCGACCGTTTGGGTTTCCTTCTCCCATGAATTCCATCTCCTCATCTATATGCATACATAAATAAAGATTTATATGCACAATCCACTAAATACTATTACAAAACATATAATTATTCCAGAAAAGAAGAATATGATTATGTTATATACACACTATATATATATATGTGTATATGTGTAAGCAATCATTACATGGACCATATAATAAATTTAGGCATCTTCAACTCACCTCTATTTTAGAGGTGAAATAGAGTTTATGTTCCAACCCACCTCTATTTTCATCTCTAAAATAGAAATTACTATTTTTTTCTTTCAAATATAGATGGATTCTATTTTTTTCTCTATAATAGATGTGAATTTTTTATTTATAAAGTAGCCCTTTAACTTTTAAATCTTTCTATTTATGCAATAAATATAGAATTTTATAAAAATTTAATTGAATATAAATGTGATAAGTTTGGTTATAGTTTTTTTAAAAAAATTAAAAACATATAATATTATTAAATATGAAAGTTCTCATCACAAATTAAACTACAAAAAAGAATTGTAAATTATAATACATAAAAATAAACGATTATTTGTGGGAAAAACATATCAGTGGTAAATATTAAACTATTATTTTTTTTAATATGATGTAATGTAATATTTTCTTTAATTTATGAATTTTTACTTCTAATATTATTATAATTTATAGAAACTTTTGTAAAACATAAAATAAATGGGGTTACTTTCTAAATTTTATTAGTCAAAGATTAGTATTATTAGAATTTATGAAAACTTTTATAAAAGTAAAGTAAAGGGTTAACTCACAAAATTTATTTATCAAAAGTTAATATTATTATAATTTATGTGAATTTTCGTAAAAAAGAAATAAGTGGAGTCAATTCATAAATTTTATTAATGAATGGTGTTAATAATAAATAACAAAAAGAATATACTGAGAATATTCCTTTTTAGAGGAAAAAATAGAGGTAAACATTGAAGACAATACCTCTATTTTAGAGTTCTTCTATTTCAGAAGAAAAAATAGAGGTATACATTGGTGATGGTCTAACACTATTTGTGAATTAAATTAAAAATATTAAATTTTATTTTTCTAAATTAATTATTCTTATTAGTTACAAATATATTTTAAAATTTTATATACAGATGTATTTACAAAGAAAGACATGTTGAAATTATCATATTTGATTGCATAGTTTAATCAAAACATTTTTTACATTATATTCTGCTAATATATCATTTGTATATCATTTGTATTCTGCTAATATATCATTTGTATTCTAATTTGTATTCTGCTAATATAGTATTTGTATTCTAATTTTTAAAAGTAGTCTATATATATCAGTATATAAAATGTACCTTGGCCATTCCAAGGAGAAGAGTGGCGAGATTGTAGAGAGTATGCATACATGCCAACACAAAGAAGAAGAAACTCAACTGAGTCAACCCTTCTGGTGAAATAAGTGACGTTTTCCCCTATAAATTAAAATTTATATAATTGGATTAGCTTGTTCGAACTAATTATGCTTAGTACCTCGTAAGCAAATAAATAACTCATAATGTACATTTTGATCATAACTCGTCATTCTTGATTGGTTTCTTGACAAAAATATCCAACTATGAGACCAATTTTCGTCACACGAATCAGGACAATATCCAAAATATTTTAGCAGTTTATTCTTTGACTCACGTTGACGTCAACGTCAACTTCAACTTAAACCATTTGACATTTCTAGATCCTAAGTTATTTTTTTTGATACATAATTTTGTAGTGGTATAAGCATTTACAAGAAATATAAATGATTAAAACTGATTTAAATACTAGAAAATGGTAGAATTGTAAGCAGTGAGAATTTACTAAATTTGGAAAGTCATGAAAACCAAAATTATTATAAATCCAAATTCCGTAAATTAAATTAAAAAGAAAAAAAACAGAATTGTTGTATACTTCTTCTACAGCTGTAGTGCTCATCATAACTTTAATTTCTGAAACATAAATGTGTGTATATACACTACTCTTATACGTAATATATATTTGGATTAAAGATACTTGAAAACCAGAATTGAACAATTATGCATGGTAAGGATCAAGAGGTCAAGCAGATAACCTTGGAGCAAAAATGAGCGGAGTTGTTGTCGTGATCATCATCATCATCTTCATCAGTAAGTAGTATTTTGGTTCCATGGCAAGGCAACATTCGATTGGCATACCTTGTGGGGATGCATATCTTCGAAACTTCTCCTTCAATCACATTTAGCATCAGTGACATGAATCCTAGCACCATTAGAACTGCGTCCCATACATAATATTAAAAATTCAGTTTTTATCGATTACAAAAAAAAAAAAAAATCAATTGACTGTCACATCCCAAAACGTAGGCTGTTTTTTAATAATAAAAAAAAAACTTAATCACTAGATGAATTTATTGGTAAGAGGACAGAGTTTCACCAGATTTGAGTTTTTCTACAGCTTCAAGTAGCGATATTTTTCTATTTTTCTTAAGTCTCTGCAACAACAAAAAAAAGAAAAAAAAACAATTCAAGTCATGTTAGTTCGAGTTTACTCTCTAAGTATGTATATGAGTTTTCTACAGCCTCAAGTATGTATATGTGTCTTGTACAGTTTATTATTTTTGTGTACAATTTATTCTAACAATCCTGAAATAATTGACGAAACAATTAAACATATTAAATACAAAAAGGACATCTGTTTTAGATGGTATTTTTTGTTTATGTATGTGCTATTTTTTATTGAAGTGGGCCCATAAATATTAAGATAATTTTACACTATATATATGGAAAAAATATAAAAGTTGATCCGGTAATAACTTTGTATATAGTTTTTAGTTGAATGGACCCTCTAAAAATATAGCTACGCATGCCATTGCTTCATCTGACTCTGTTGAGGGCTTCCCTGCCAATCTCAGTCTCATACTAGACTAACATATAAATTATACAAACATTAATATACGAGAAATCGTTTTTGGCCAAACTAACCAATTATAGCTTTATGACATCTTGTAAGAATTAACAATACTTCCCGATAAAGTTCGAATTAACTTTTTGGTATCCAAATACTCCATTTGTTTCACAGTAGATGATGTTTAAGAAAAAAATTGTTTTGAACTACATGATGTTTTTTTAGCTTTTTTGTATAAACTTAATTAGTTTTTTAATTGTTATTCACCATTTGTAATCTATGATTCTTTTATCATTGGTTGGTTTTTTTTTAAGTTGATAAAAATAATGTTTTTGTTTGGAAAAGTACAAAATTCTTTAGTCTACCTGCAAAATTCTTATACATCATCTACATTGAAACGAAATAACTATTTCAACCTGAGAACCCCGAAAATTGAACTGTAGATATTAATATGAAACCACAGAAAAATAATGATAAAGACAGAAATCAAAATTAAGATTTTGAAAAAGAAATATTAAAAGCTTCTAAGAAATTAATGAAAACAAAATCAGAATTTGTATAAAAGAAATGTGTACAACATACATATCTGAACCATATATAGGTTTTGTTGTCATTAATCTTTATACACAATTGTATACTTATTATGGAGAGAAGATTGATGAGACGCTCTATAATAATGGAAACGGTAATGAAAAAGATGCAAACGGCAGCCAGAGCCCAAGTGGGAGTTTGTTGGAGGGATCGGACGGCGCCAACCTCCATGGAGTGGTCGGTTTCTCCTCCTTTTCCGGTCATCTGTTATATTTTTTTTTTCTGGTGACTGATGATGTGCAGCCAAGAACATGAAGATATGTTGTGGTGGGCAATGTAGAGAACTTACTTATATATTGCAATTATTAATGTTGCAGCCAAGAACTTGTCAAAAGTTTCTAGCAGACAGTGAAGTTATGCTATAAATGTGACATTAAATCCCAAGTCCCACTCCATACCGCCCTATTTGACCTGGTACCACTTCTTATTGTTATTTGTACTAGTGTTCGCACGTACTACCATTTATATTAGGGTAAAACTGATAAATAATTACGACTAATCTATCGTGTAATTATTAAACAAACCAGCTGCTGGACGGGAAAAAGTAACAATGTACAATCTTAGTATTTCTTTACAGCCACATCGAGTATTCGAGTAATAATTAATTATTATGAAACAATTTTAGTATTTCTTTGTGAAATGACTGTGAACAAAATATCTACTAGTTCAAAGTATGATATAAAAAGTCTGTATCATAAAATATTTTGGATACACAATCAACATATGTAATAGTATAAAACTAAAACTGGACAAAGAACATCAAAGCCTCATGATCCATTCTTACCAATATGGGCCAAATTTTTGTAAAACTTAAAGATCAAATTACTAATATTATTTTTGAAAAATTTAAGGAAAAACTTGCCAACTATTGATTTTGTTTACGTTACGCGCTTCCGGTATTGAATCAGACTCTGCGTTCTTCCCCTAGCATAGGCACACTAAATAAGGTGATGATATCATAACACTCGTATCCACATCCGTCTCTAGTCATGCTGAATAAAACAGCTTGTTTTCTCTCTGAGTAAGATCTCAAGATGTTTTTTTAACAAAATCCACCCTACACCAATTTGAATGGTACTTTTTGTTTACTAACCTTCAGGAGAAGAAAAAAAAAAAGAATAGATGAGCGATTTGGATTATCTAGTGATGAGTTTTGGGACTTAACACATACGATATTACTATATTAAACGCCTAGTCTACTGTTTAAAAAACCTTTATACAGTACAATCGAGACCCACATGCCTACACACAATGACATAAGCGATCATATCTTCTGATCCCGACGGTTGTTGCAGCATTGTGAAATCACGAGTATGTGTATTCTCGCTAGGTGCATAATCCACCAAACAATGCACAACAAGGGGACTCCCTACTCTGCTATGCACCAAGCGAGAACACACATACTCGTGATTTCACAACGCTGCAACAACCGTCAATTGCTAAATCACACGAATGTACAATGGTAACATTAAAGGTTACCACTCAGAACATACCTTCCAAACAATAGGGTCATTTAGACTAGCGAAAATTGATGGCTATCCAATTTATTTTTAAAATGTATTTTTTTTGTATCTGTAAATTTTCAAATTTATGGATATAATATTGTTTTATTTTATAAGAAAATGTTAGTTTTCAAATTATACAAAATAGATTATTATACTAAATGTCCTCATATGTTCTATAAAAATATATAGTATGAATCTTAAAGGGTCAATTTGAATTTTGAACCAGGTTTTAGTTGTGCCAACAAGCATGAATTTGCCAATGGTGTTCTGGTTTTTTCAACTACTCCATACAATAATATTTTGAAATTCTTTTAGAGGTGTCATGTGACTCCACTAATCTTTACTGCATCCACCAACTAAGAAATTGTCAGAGATATCATATCAATACAAATGAAGGTTTTAAATCCAAATATGTAGTAGTAGCAAGAAATTTCCAACTAATAAACTCAGTTTGTTGTGATATATGTTTCTCATCTACATGAGCTTTGTACGATTCGATTCCACTTAAAAATACGCATAATGCTTTCTTAAGATGGTAGCATAGGTTGTGGATATTTTATATAATTACAAGTAGTTTATGAAATCTTTCTCAAAGAGAGAAAGAGATTGAAAAGAAATGATTTTTATTATGAATTTTCAACTTACATAACTCATACAATCGACTAGATATATATAAGAGAATACATCTGGATTAATGATAAGTAATAGCACTAGATCCAAGAGGCATAAATCGATTTCCAAGAGGAATAATCTGAGCTGGATGATCTGGCTTTTGTTGACCACACTTCATCTTCTTAATGTTGTTATTGCAGGTTTTATTGCAGGTCTTTGACGGCTTCGGATGACATGCTTCAAACGTGCTGGGCTTATTGGACTTGAGATCAAATGGTCGATCCTCTATTGCTTCTAGTGTTGGCCCATTTGCAGTTTCTGGATTTTCAGGCTTCTCTATACACCCCCGCAAACTTGGTGTGGGTGGAGAAACAACGCCAAGTTTGAACCGCAAGTCAGCAAAGGCACGGTGGGGCAGAGACTTAGTAAAAATATCAGCAAGCTGATATTCAGCCGGAATATGCTTCACCACCAACGAACCAAGAGCCACTCTCTCACGGACATAATGCCAATCAAGTTCAAAATGCTTGGAACGAGAGTGCATCACCGGATTCACTGTTAAGCACACCGCAGATAGATTATCACAGTACATTTCTGGTGTTACAGGCGGAGGAACACCAATCTCAGACAACAGGGAAGAGATCCACTTAAGTTCAAAGGCAGCAATTGAGAGAGTTCGATACTCTGCCTCAGTGGAGGACTTAGAAACAGTGGAATGTCTCTTGGCCGACCAAGAAATAATGTTGGAACCAAGAAATGTGCATAAACCGCCTGTCGAACGCCTTGTTTCAGGACACCCGGCCCAGTCACTGTCACTATAAGCACGCAAAGTACAATCTGTATTTGCAGACAAATCAAGACCCAAAGATATTGTACCTTTGAGATATCTCAGTATGCGTTTGAGGAGATTAAAATCAGCAATGGTGGGAGCATGCATTTTCTGACAAACATAATTCACAGAGAACTGAATATCAGGCCTTGTTAAAGTAAGGTATTGCAGTTTTCCTGCCAGACTCCTGAAATAGGTAGGATCAGAAAAGAGTTCTTGTTGGCCAGGAACTTTCCCGAGTTGCAGAGGCAAAGGAGTAGAAATAGGAGCACAATCAATCATTCCTGCATTTATAAGAAGATCAGTTGCATACTTTTCTTGGTTTAAAAAAAGCCCATTGGGATGAAAGAACGCTTGAACACCAAGAAAGTAGTGTAACTGTCCCATATCTTTCATCATGAAATCCAAATTGAGAGAGTTCAAAAGCTTCTGCATCAAGTGTTTGTTGCTTCCAGTCAATATCATGTCATCTACATACAGCAGAAGAAACATGACATCTGAACCGTGAATGTAAACAAAGAGAGAAGCATCACCAATTGCACAAAAGAATCCAAACTTGATCAAAAATAAACTGAACTTGTCAAACCAAGCCCGTGGCGCTTGTTTAAGTCCGTAAATAGCTTTCTTAAGTTTGCAGAGGTGATCTGGCCTTTTTGGATCTTCAAAGCCAGGTGGTTGGACCATATAGACAGTTTCTTTCAAGTCTCCATGCAAGAAAGAATTTTTGACATCTAATTGTTTTATGTCCCATTTGTTGATAACAGCAACGTGTAGGATAGCTCGAACAGTTGCAGTACGAACAACAGGGCTATAAATCTCTATATAATCAATGCCTTCTTCTTGCTCATACCCCTTTGCAACGAGTCTCGCTTTAAGCTTATCTAAAGATCCATCAGCATTCAACTTCGTCTTGAAAACCCACTTACAACCAAGAGGTTGAACTCCTGGCACAGGTGGAACAAGATCAAAAGTGTCGGTAACATGAAGGGTCCCCATCTCTTCACCCATTGCATTAGTCCAACCTGGATCTTGTAGTGCAGCTTTGATTGTCTTTGGTTCAGGATAATTAGTTCTTACGGAGTGTAAGGCATATTTGGGATTTGGTTTTCGTATACCAGCCTTGGATCTGGTGGTCATAGCGTGTGTAGAAGTAGTGGCGGCCAATGGAGTAAGGCCATCTCCAGAAGTAGATACCATTTCTTCATCGTTACTGATAACAGGCTCAAGAGGAACAGCGGTAGGCACAAGCGCAAGAGGAGCAGTAGCAGACACAGACTCATGTGAAGGAGATGTCAAATTCGGTGTCTCTTGTATATCTGTCCTGATAGAAGAAGGAAATGAGCTGTTGCCTATAGGAACAGAGTCTAAGTCTGCCGTACACCCAGTACTCATTCCTTCCTCAACAGTAGAAGACACAAGAGGCAAAATGGTTCCTTCAGAAGAAATAGAAGCAGCAGAACTTGAGCCTGACGAGGAGATACAACCATCAGTTGGTGAATTCTGATCTGACGAAGTGGCAGAAACACCAGTTGGAGAAAGACTCCTGAACCAGCTAGTCAGAAGTGGAGTATTTGGTGTTGAAGAAAAGTCCTTATACACATCAGAGAAAGGAAAGTGATTTTCAGAAAATAACACATGTCTGCTAATATATACCCGACCAGTTGGAGGATGAAGACATCTGTATCCCTTATACTTCTCATTATATCCGAGAAAAACACAGAGAAGAGATCTGGGATCAAATTTATTCTGTGCATATGGTCGAAGATAAGGATAACATGTGCACCCGAAGACTCTCAAAGCAGTATATATTGGCGGTTTCTGCATTAGAAGTTCATAAGGACTCTTATTGTCTTGCAAAACCGAAGAGGGAAGAAGATTTGCAAGAAAATTGGCAGTAAAGAAAGATTCCACCCACAAGTACTGAGGAGATCTGCTATGAAACATCATAGAAAGTCCAAGTTCTATCAAGTGTCGATGCTTGCGTTCAGCAAGACCGTTTTGCTGAGGTGTGTAAGGACAAGAAATTTGTTGTTTGATGCCGCATTCACTTAAATGTTTCACGAATCTGTTGCTTGTATACTCACCTCCTCCATCACATTGAAACATAGATATTTTCTGTGAAAACTGATTCTCAACCATCCGTTGGAAGTTGAGAAACACAGAGAAAAAAACCAGATTTTAACCGAAGAGGATAAAACCAGGTGAATCTCGAGAAATGATCAATGAAAATAACATAATATCTGAATCCTTGAGAAGAAACAATGGGTGCAGGACCCCAAATATCAGAGTGAACACG